CCCATGTGTGCTTTATTTTTTATGACCAAATAATATTCTATTACAGATATGCCACATTTTACTTACCCATTCAACTGACAGACATTTGGGTTGTCTTGCTTTGAAGATAAGTGAGGTTGCTACAAATACTAATGTACAAGTCTTTTGGGGCACATGTTTTCAATTTTCTTGAATATACTCCTACCTAGGAAAAGAATTCCTGGGTTACATGGTAACTCTTTTTATGTAACCTTTTGAAGAATTGTCAAACTGTCTTCAAAAGTATCTGCACCATTTTACAAGTTCACCAGCAATGTATGCGCATTCAAATTTCCCACCTTTTCATCAGTGTTGGTTGCCTGTGATTTTTATGTTACTGATCTTAGGGAGTACAAATTCTTATTGTGTTTCTCTGGTGACCAAGGATACTGAGCATCTTTTCATGTGTTTATTGTCACTTGTATATCTTCTTTGAAGAAATGTAGACTCATGTTGTCTATTAATTGAGTTGTTTTGTTCTTGTTAAGAACTCTCTCTATTACTAATATTAATTCTTTACCAGGTATATGAAAATAATGGAAAATATTTTCTCCTACTCCCCTTGTTTTCTTTTTTTTGTTTTGTTTTTTGAGACAGGGTCTCACTATGTAGTTGAGACTGACCTGAAACTCACTGTGTAGCCCAGGCTGGTCTCGAACTCACAGCAATCCTCCTGCCTCAGCCTCCCCAGTGCTGGGATTACAGGCGTGAGCCACCACGCCCGGCTGCTTTCTTCTTTTTTAATTAAAACATTTATTTTATTTTATTTTTCCAGGATTGAACACAGGGCTTTCACACAGAGCTCTATTTATTCACACAGAGCTGCATCATCTATTTTGAAACAGGGTCTCCCAGAGTGCTGGGATTTCAGGTGTGTGCTTACCATGCCTGGCTCTTCTCCTGTTGTGTTCTTCACTTTCTTGGCGGCTTTTTTGGTTTGGTTTTGTTTGAAACAGGGTCTCACTTTGTAGTGCAGGCTACCTTGAATTCACTATGTGACAACCCAGGCTGGCCTGGAACTCATAGCGATCCTCCTGCCTCAGCCTCCCAAGTGCTGTGATTACAGGCGTGAGCCACCACGCTGGGGTCTTGGTGGTATCTTTTGAAATACAAAGGTTTTTAATTGGGATGAGGTTTGATTTATTTATACTTTTTTGTCACTTCTGCTCTCAGTATCACATCTATAAAATATGACTGTATCACATTCTGTCTGCAGAGAAACCACAGTTCATTATACAAATTTTATGTCTTTCATGTTAGTGTCTTTCCTTCAAAGCCACGCCTGTCCATGTGACACCCATACAAACATTCGGACTCCTTGCTAGTTCTCTTTGCATCTTCTCACAATGCACATTCACTATGCACTCGTCTTACTCTCCCCAAAGCACATCATGCCATTGTCTCTTTAATCAAGAGCAAGACCTTCTTCCTCTGGTGCTCACTAGTCTTTCCTAGTGTTGTGAACACAAGTGAGCCAGCCACACGATTCAGGAATTAAGGACACAAGTCACTCACGGGGCTATTGTCCCAACAAGGGCTGCACTCCTTTCCCACAAACAGGTGTGCAATTTAATCTGACTGATTAACCACTTGGGCTATGCCAATGTACTATACGAATTTGTATGTTTTTAGCGTCTCCTAGGAGAGGAGAATCTTCTAGAGTTGTTGCCCTGCAGTCCTCATTATCTCAACATAGAATCTTCTCAGAGGAAGAGTCTTTAGCTAGGCTGTGGAAATGCTGTGTCTTTGTCACCCACATTTTGTCTTGTTCCATCTCCTCTCCTAATCATGTCTGTCCTGTGGAATGGGAACCTGCTTCTGTCTGACCCGATAACGTCCAAAACCTCTGACAGTTATTCCTAACGCCAAGACTGCCCTTTAGAGTCAAGGCTAACTCAGGTTCCTTTCCCCGAGGCTCAACCCTTAAAGATCAGAGGTGTATCTGTGCGGGTGATGGCACATACCTGTAAGAGGCCTGTACACATATCCATACCTGATTTACAGCGCTGGAAAACGACTGGCGTTGTGGGAGGCTGTTGCAAGAGAATCACAACTTCAAACCCGAACTGGCAACTTCGGGACTTAATGAAACCCTACCTCAAAATTTCAAACGGGGGCGGGCCGTGGATGTAGCTTGGTGTAAAAGCCCTAAGTTCAATCCCTAGCACAAAGAAGGTGTGGGATGGGGGATGAAGGGAGGCAGGGAGGAGAACAAAACAAAGAAAGAAATGTATCTCTAAACACAGAATGGCGTTGGCATTGCAAATTATTTAGAGCACAACGAACTTGGATTTGTCCTTTCCTGGTATCACCACCCCACACCCAACAAGCCAGCGCTTCATTCACTGACTTAGTTTTCCTGCCAAGCTTTAATGCAGGCCTTCCTCTTGCCAGTTCTACCGTCTTCTATGACTTCCCATGGCTTTTCTCATTCAAAATCTTTCATCTTTTCATACGGCTGACCCCCAGTTTGCCAGTATTGTCTACTTTTTAGGTGTCATGTGTTTCTTATACAAAGGGAGTTAGTGAAGCCCTTGTGTCCTCCAATGAGAGTCTGAACTTTCCATTAGTCATTTCCAATCTCCTTTCTGGTGATACCTACTATCTCCTCAGCCTTAAGAATGGCAAAGGGACACCAGCTTTCACAGAACCATATATAACAATTTCCATGTTACTCTCCCATTATAATGGGGAAAATATAATAGATAGTATATTTTGATTAATTTTCATACTTTATTCAGAAGTCATTCTCCAGCACTGTAAATCATGTATGGATATATGTACAAACCCCTTATTTTTATGTAATTATAGATTTGCAAAAGTTGCAAAGAAATGTAGAAAAGCCTCATGCACAACTTCCCCTAGTGTTAACAGCTTACATCTTTTGCACAATATCCATTTTTACCTGTACTTGTAGATGTAGTCTGTGTAGCTCAGTACAATTTTACCACACATACTGTTCTATGTGACCATTACCACTGTCAAGACACTTAATCCTACCATTACTCCAATACTCTCTCATGTTATTTTTTCATGCGGGGGTGTAATCTTTTGAGATGGAGTCTCGTTGTGTAGTTCAGGCTGGTCTGGGATTCACTATATAGTCCAGGCTTGCCCCCAATTTATGGTAATCCTCCTGCCTCAGCCTCCCGAGTGCTGGGATTACAGGGATGTGCCATCATGCCTGGTTCTCATATTACCTTTTTTTCTTGAGACAGGGTCTCGCTATGTGGTGCAGGCTGACCTCGAACCAAATGCTGGGATTACAGGTGTGTGCCACCATGCCTGGGGTCATGTTACTTTTGTTTGTTTGTTTTTGTTTTGTTTTGTTTTGGTACCGGGGATTGAACTTGGGTCCTTGCACTTGCAAGGCAGGCCACCGAACCGCTGAGCTAAATCCCCAGCCCTATGTTACTTTTAATAATCACATCCGTCCCTCAATCTTAACCGCTGGCAACCACTAGTTTGTTCCAAATTCTATAATTATTGTATATTATTTCACTTTTGTTACATAAATAGAATCATGCAATATTTTTCCCTTTGAGATTAACTTAATCACTCCATCTAATTTCTTCGAGTTTCATCAAAGTTATTGCTTTCATCCATAGTTCATTCCTTTGTATTGCTCAGTGGTAGGTAGTTCATGGTGTGCATGTGCCAGTTTGTTGTTTTTTGTTGTTTGTTTATTTTTTATGGTATTTGAGCCCAGGGTCCTCACACTGAGTTATATCCTCAGCCTTTCTTTTATTTTGAAACAGGGTCTTGCTAGGCCACTAAGTTGCCCAGGCTGGACTTGAACTTGTGATCCTCCTGCCTCATCCTTCTATTTTTTATTTGATTGATTGATTGATTGATTGATACCAGGGATTGAACTCAGGACCCTGCACTTACAAGCCAGGCATGAGTCACTGGGCTAAATCCCCGGCGCTCACCCTTCTAGAATACTGAGACTACAGACGTAAGTCACCATGCTCATGCCAGTTGTTTTTAAACCTTTTATCCTTTGAACAACATTTGGGTCATTTCCAGTTTGGAACTCTCATAAAAAAAGTGTCTATGGGAATACAAATTCCTGAGTAAAAAAGAAGTCATTTCTCTGTGATAAATACCCAGCCGAACACAGATTATGGCAAGTGTTATTTTTAGTTTTTGGTTGTGTGCGTGTGTGTGTGTGTGTGTGTGTGTGTGGACAGGAACTCACTATGTAGCCTGGACTGGCCTTGAACTCGCAGTGATCCTCTTGCCTCAGACTCCCGAGTACTTGGATTACAGGCATGCGCCACCATGTCCAACCATTGTTACTTTTAAAAGTAAAAAACAAGTCATTTCTTACAATCAAAATTTTTATTTTTGGAATTTCACTGTGATTCAACCCTAGAGAGATATTCTATTTATCTCTTCCGTACTAGAGAACTATCCTTCTAAAGTCCCATAGAGTCAGATAAACCTGGATTCAAATACTGCTCAGGTAACTTTTCTTTTCTTCTTTTTATTGAGTCTCAGCTTCTCTATTTATAAAAGAGGAAATAATGCCCACAATAATAAGGACTTAAGACCAACACATGATTGCTGACTGGAGTGTCCAGTTCAGAGTCACAGTTTATGCCAGCTCCCTACTCCATGGCACGATAAAAATCAAATGTTACTTCTAATTTACTAAATACATTATCTTTAGTATATTATTCATAATGTTGTTGTTGTTTTAGTTTGTTTTTTGAGACAGGGTCTCACTATGTAGTTGAGACTGACCTGGAACCACTATGTAGCCCAGGCTGGTCTCAACTGACAGCGATCCTCCTGCCTCAGCCTCCCGAGTGCTGGGATTACAGGCGTGCACCACCACGCCCGGCTCCTAATGTTGTTGATAAAACTAGTTTCCTTTTCTTCCAATGAATTGTATTTGCTGAAGTAATCCTTACTACTCCTGGAAGCAAAAATAAGATGGTGTCTCTCCATTATACTGTGTTTATTTTCTCTCCTAGGTCAGTGAACAATTTCCTGATGACTGGTCCAAAGGTAAGAAAAGAGTTCTTTGAGGGCTGGGGATGTAGCTCAGTGGTGGCACGCGTGCCTAGCAAGCACAAGGTCCTGAGTTCAATTCCCAGTACCAAAGAAAGAAAAAAGTTCTTTGATTAATATGGTTACTAAGCTTAACTTGTTGTCTAAAGAAGAGACATGTTGATTCATTTTCATTATCTCCACACCTTTTATTATATTGTGCTACATATTACAAACAGAAAAACTGAGGCACACCCAAAGCCATCCAGCAAACTAATGTCAGAGCCCAGAAAAGCACCTAGGAGCACCAATTCTGAATTTTTGGCTGGAGTTTCCAGAAATGTCAACAGGCTTCCATGGGTTTTAGGCTGCAGTCACACGTCCTACAGTGGTAGAATGTAGAATGTAGTTCCCCATCGTTCAACTGCTAGAATTGTATTACACGACCTCTACAGAGAAGGGCATTTCCGGATCCAAAACATTATTTTCTTCTTTTATTTTTACTTTTTATTCATTTGCTTTGCAGTTCTGGGTATTAAACCCAAGGCCTCATGCATGCTAGACAAGCACTCTAGTGCTAAACTGCATCCCCAGCCCTTTTTAATCTTACTTTCCCACCATTAGCCCTGGACTCACTTTGGGGTGTTCGATTTTTATATTTGGCTCATATCCACCACCCATTACTTGCTCTTACCCAGCCCAACCCTCTTATTCACTCCCTCTTCTTTTGTCCCTCTTCTGCCTTCTACTTCCTTTCTTTCTTTCTTTTTTGGGGGTGGTGGTTTTTTGAGACAGGGTCTCACTATGTAGTTGAGACTGACCTGGAACTCACCACGTAGCCCAGGCTGGTCTTGAACTCACAGGGATCCTCCTGCCCCAGCCTCTAGTGTGCTGGGATTACAGGTGTGTGCCACCACGCCCGGGCTCCCTTCTACTTTCTTGTAATCTTTTTTAGATTCCATATATTAGAGAGAATGTGCAATAGTTGCCTTTCTGAATCTGGCTTATTTCACTCAAAACAATAATCTCCAGAGCCATCCATTTTCTTATAAATGACACAATTTTGTATCTCCTCGTGGCTGAAAAATATTCCATTGTGTACATATACCACACTTTCTTTATCTGTTCATCTACTGTTGGGCATTATTTTGGTTATTTTCTCATTGCTCAGACAAAATGCCTGACACCCAAAGTTAAAGAAAGAGAGGTTTATTTGGCTCACAGTTTGTAGAATTTCAGTCCATAACTGGCTGGCTGTAAGGCAGGGTGGCATGGCAGAGGGGGGTCTCAGAGGAGAAACAGTGCATGGCATGTCAGCAGGTAGAAGGCAGTAAGCAGCAAGCAACATCAGCAGCAGAAGCAGCAGCGGCCACTTTTTTTCTGTCCCTTTTATTCTACCCAGGCCACCTGCCCTTTGGGCAGGGCCACCCACACCCAGGGTGGGTCTTGCTATTATCCACACTCAGAACTGCGCTAAATCAATCAGTGGGCTAACTTAGTTATCTCGTAGCCTTAATCCCAGCATGACCCACCCTAGCTCCATCCACCTCCAAAAGCCCCACCTTATCACCTCATGAGGCTTTGAAGGTCCATAGAAATCCAAGCCGTAACAGGCCTCTAGTTCCCTGTCTTGGCTATTGTGAATTGTGCCACAGTAAGCACAGGTGTTCAAATATCCCTGTGGCATGCTGGCCAACTGCTCCGGGTAGTATAGACCTCTGTTTTCAGTCTTCTGAGGAACTTCCACATCGATTTCCATAGCAGCCATATTAATTTACAGTCCCACCCTTGTTCCCCCTCCCCCTTCAGGGTCTCACCGGCATTTACTGTTCTTTGTATTCTCGATGTTAGTCTTTCTGGATAGGCTGAGACGGAATGTCAGTGCAGCTTTGATGTGTGCTACGGTTTGTATGCAGATGTTCTGAGCGTCTCCTGCACTCACAGGCAGGATTGTGGGGACACTGGGGCTGACTTGCTGTTGGGAGGTGAGCCCTGGTCAGAAGAGGCGGGTTACCAAGGGTGGGACCGGAAGGATTTCTCTCCTTCACCCACGCCTCCCTTCATTCGCATTGCATCCCGGCCACCGCGAGGTGAGCAGCTCTCCTTGTGACATCCCTCTGCCATGCCATCCCGCAGTGGAGGCAGCCAGCTATGGACTGAAACCTGAGCCGAAATAAACCTGTCCTCCGCTAAGCTGTGACTGTTGGGTATTTTGTACCAGCAAGGAGGGAACTGACTAAGACATTTGCACCTCCCTAATGGCTAAAGATAGTAAGCATTACTTCATAAACTTATTGACCACTTGCATTTCTTTTGGGTAGCGTCCATTCAATTAACTTGCCATATTCAATTTAATTTGTTGATTGGGCTATTTGTTGTTTTGGTATTACGTTTCTTGAGTTCTTTACATATTCTAGATACAGCAGTACCTCAGTTCACAAATGCTTCGGTTTACATACAATTCAGTTCACGAACAGAAACGTTTGGCAAAATTTTGCTTCCGTGCACGAACTCATCAGGTGACGCTGAACCTTATGGGAATTTTTTATTCAGCTTGTGACCAATTAGGTTCACAATCAGAATCATGCAGAGCTAAGTTCATAAACTGAGGCACCACTGTATGTCAGAAGAGTAGCTAGAAAAGATGGTCTCCCATTCTGCAGGCTGTCTCTTCTCTCGCTTACTTGCTTCCCTTGCTGTGCAGCAACTTTTATTTGAAGTAATCCTATTTATTAATTCTTGTTATTATTTCCTGAGCTACTGGAGTCCTCTTGAGGAAGTCTTTTTCTGTGCCCATGGCTTCAAGAGTTTCCTCTGTTTTCTGTCAGCAGTTTCAAAATTTCAGGTCCTAACAGCAGGTTTTTTATTCATTTTGAATGGATTTTTATAGAGGGTGAGAGATGGGGATTTAGTTTCAGTCTGCTACAAGTGAATATCCAGTTTTCCTAGCACCATTTGTTAAAGAAACTGTGTTTTCTCCAGTGTGTATTTTGGCTCCTTTGAGACAAGACGTGTTACCCAGGTTGGCCTCAAATTTGTAATCACCTAGCCTCAGCCTGCTGAGGAGCTAGAATTACAGGTATGCACTACCATGCCAAGCTCAACATGTTATTTTCTAACACAGTAATGGGATATGCATAACTGAAAATTTGTGAGTTGTATGACTGGGGCTCATTTTGGAGAGGCAGTCTAATAAAAGTTTATTTCCTAGTTCTGCCATTTGCTAGCAATAGGACCTTAAGCAATTTAGTCTATTTCTGCTCTCTAAGCTTCAGTTTCCTAATCTATAAAATGGCCCCTATTTCATAAGGTTATTTGTAGCACTAAATGAGACAGCATATTTAAAGTGCTTACTCCAGCACTGTTTTGGAGGGATGGACGAGAAGTTTTGGGGAAATGCCTCTTAAATTCAGGCTGAATTTTGACCCCGTAGGCTTACCTGATCTACTCCAGCAGTGTGGCAGCTGGTGCACAGAGTGGAATCGAAGAATGCAAGTATCAGTTTGCCTGGGACCGCTGGAACTGCCCCGAGAGAGCTCTGCAGCTGTCCAGCCATGGTGGACTTCGCAGTGGTGAGGACAGCCTTGGCCACAAGTCCTCAGATCCCCTGACCACAGGCTGGGCCCGGGGGATGGCACCGTTTCTCCTCCACACCTCTCTTCTCTTGGGACATCTTCCTCTTCACAGATCTCCTCTTTTCTTTCTCTACCTCTGCTTTCCTATCTATAGAGTGCTCTTCTTTCTTCCCTAACACCCTCTACGCTTAACTAATAGACCTTGTCTCATCTGCAACCCATAGCACCCTTGGTTGCCCAATCAGCTAAAGGTTTCTTGACAATAGAAGATACACCAGGAGGAGGGTCAGGGTCACAATTTCTCAGACCTTTTAGCCCCTTCTTCCAGCACTCTGAGCAGAGAGGCACTGGGCAAGAGAAAACTTGGGCTGGGAAACCAGATTCCGATAGTGATGATAAATAGTGACCATGCCGGCAAACGAAAGGCTGCAGAACAGATTCTTCTGTAGATCAACTGAACGTGCCTCTTTTGTTTGTTTGTTTGTTTTGTTTTGTTTGTTTTTTGAGACAGGGTCTCACTATGTAGTTGAGACTGACCTGGAACTCACTATGTGGCCCAGGCTGGTCTCGAACTCACAGTGATCCTCCTGCGTCATCCTCCCGAGTGCTAGGACTACAGGTGTGCGCCACCATGCCCGGCTGGACATGCCTCTTTGACTCCAAAGTTCCAGGAGGAAGTGAAGATGGGTCTTCACCTGGCCTTCACATTCATCTCCTGTTTCTTCCTTAGGCTCTTTACCCACCTAAATCCCTTATAACCATGCATGTCAACAACACTGTGGCCCTCTAGTCATAAAATGTATGACCTGAAAAGATGAGAGAAATATAGGGCTGAGGCCAGGGATGGAGCAGTCTGGAAGAGGGTAAGGTACCTTATAAAGATGGGGCTACGGATGGAGCTGCTGGGGAAGGCCTTAAAAGTAGGTTGCATGGCTGGCGCTTCTTTGGGCTGTGATGTCTCTCCTCAATCTCTGGCTCTTTGGTTCCTGGCAGCTAACCGGGAGACAGCGTTTGTACACGCCATCAGCTCTGCAGGCGTCATGTATACTCTGACAAGAAACTGCAGCCTCGGAGACTTTGACAACTGTGGCTGTGATGACTCCCGGAATGGGCAACTGGGTGAGTCATGCTGCAGGGATTCAAACGGCCAGGGGAATTCCAGGGGAATTCACTTGGAGGATGACAAGCTGGGCGGGAAGTTCGGTGGGGTAAAGCTGTTCCTTCTGCATTAGGGTGACAGCTAGGTGTTCTGGCACACACCTGTGATCCTGGTACTGGGGAGGCTGGGGCAGGAAGATGGGGAGCTCAAGGTCAGCCTGGGCAACACAGTCAGACTTTGTCGTAGGAAAATCACACGGAGAGAGCGACCAGTTTGAGCCCAAACCCTAAAGGCTAAAGTAGCTGGGGCCCTGTTCTCCCGCTGAGGGATCTCTTTCAACACAATGCTGATGGTAGCAGAACAACGCCCCGCAGAGGAGCCCTCTCTCTCCTCGCAGACACGGGGTATTTCCTGCGTCTCTGCTTCCCACCCTTCACCCTCACCATGGTCATCCGTCCTTCTCGTCCCCCTCCCTCTCCACCACGGAACTCTGCTCTTCCCGCCTCCTCTTCCCGCGCTCCTGATACTGCAGGAGCGGGAGGACCCTGGGAAGGGGTGGCTGAAGCTGGCGGTGGCAATGCCAACAGCAACCAACCTTCTAGACCGAGAGGAATCCGGAGCCAGGGCACCAGCCCACCCGTAATTCTCTCCTGTCCCGACCCCACGCCCTGCTCGGTCAATCCGAAACATCAGTGTGGGAAACTCTGGACCCAGGACATTTCCGCTTTTCCAGGGGGCCAAGGCTGGCTGTGGGGAGGCTGCAGTGACAACGTGGGCTTCGGAGAGGCGATCTCCAAACAGTTTGTCGATGCCCTGGAGACTGGGCAGGACGCCCGGGCAGCCATGAATCTGCACAACAACGAGGCGGGCCGCAAGGTGAGCC